AAAAAAAAAAAAGAAAAAGAAAACAGGTTAACTTAATTTTGATAATAACCTAATACGTTAAATGTTATCACTTCAATCTGGAATCAATATGGAATTATTGGTGAGATGTTTTGCATTCTTTTATTCTTTAAGTCTAGAAAATCCTGTGTGTGTTTTTATTTATGCTTCCAGCATATTTCAGTTCAGAGTAGGCACATTTTAAGTCCTTGACAGCCCATGGGGCTAGGGCAGCGACAGGAGGATTGGCAGTGACCGTGAGCAGAGTATGGGGGCAGCAGGCTTTGGCCAGTGTGGCTGGAGCAGAGTGAGAAGTGCAGAGAGACGGTGTGTCTCAGAGACACCCAGGAACAATCACACAGGGCTCTGTACTCCTGGTAAGGTGTTGGGATGTATGCTGAAATTTTATAGTTGATTGAGAATCACTATAGAAATCAAGCACAGGTTGTTAATTGGCTGTTTTCTTGATTTTAACCATAACTCCTTGAAGGGGTAGGAATGGCAGTAACAACACATGGTCTTTTCTTTCTTTCTTTTTTTTTTTTTTGCAGTTTCTTAGCTGGGGCTGGGTTTGAACCCACCACCCTTGGCATATGGCCCCGCCCAACAACACACTTCACTCCGTGTTACTGTAAGTCCCAGTAGAGATTCATCCAGAGACCACAGTCTTAGCACTTTTCTTTGTTTCTTTGGAGACAGCTGTCCCCAAAAAGTGCTTTTCTCTAAACTCATCAAGTTGTATACATTCAATATAGCTTTTTGTATCTCAGTCATACCTCAGTAAACTGGTTTTAAAAAAGGAAAAGATAATCTAGACCCACAGCTCAGTGCTCATCGCACAAGGAGTAGCCTGAATGATAAAAAAAAAAATCAACTTGAGACAATGACCATGCAGAAGAGGTGAGTTTATACAAGAAGTTACAAGAAGTTAAATAACTCTGGACTTGCATTACTAATATCTGGGCAAGAGAAAGGGTCAGAAAGGAGGGCAGTACCGCAGTGACTGTCATTTATGGACACCAAAGGGTACAGACTGTTAACAGTGACATTTGATAAATGATTCAAATGAATTAGGCTTTTCCTTTCACCTCAAGTACAAAAACTTCTTGTGTGGAGTTCTTGGGGCTGGGGCCTGGGGCGGGTTATGCTGCTGTTTTTCTTTTAATGGCTTTATATTGCTCTGGCTTGACTCTTTTCTCTTCTTCCCTTTATATTTCTTCCCTAAACTTTGGACAAGTTAAGGGTAGACAAAGAAAAACCAGTCTTTGCAATTATTGGATTGATGTTGGGTGTTAGGAAATCAGTTTTAAATACTTCATCTTCCTGTCTGCTTTAACCTGGCACATCCTGGTAAGAAAAACCTAATAATTAAGTACAGGTGAGCTTTAAGGATGTGAGAAGACTATAGGGGATATTTTCTGCCTGGTCTTATCTTCATCCTTGCCTGTGGGGCTGTGGCAAGCACAGCCTGATACTGTTCAAATGACTCACAGTATCATGAAACAACCTCAGTTTCCCTGCGTGGTAGGCAGAATAATGCTCCCCCAAAGATGTCCATGTCCTGATCTCCACAACATGTCAATATGTTATATTACATAACAAAAGAGCCTTTGCAGATGTGATTAAAGGTTGGGACTTTGCGATGGAGAGTTAAAAATGGAAGAAGAGGGACACAGAATTAGGGATTCGGCAGAGAAGAAGGCAGAAGAAATGAGATGAAAGGCACCCATCCCTCTATTGCTGGCTTTGGAGTTGGAGGAAAGAACCCCAAGCTGCAGAATGTGGAAGCCTCATGAAGCTGGGAATGGCCCTCAGCTGACAGCAGGAAAGCAGGGACTTCGTTTCTACACCTGTGTGGAGCTGAATTATGTCAACGACTTGAGCGTGTGTAAAACCAGGTTCTCCCCTGGAGTCTCACAGAACACAGCCCTGCTATGGCCTTGATTTCACTCCGTGTGAACCAGGCCAGACATCTGCCCTAGAGACCTGTGAGGTAATGAATTTAATGTTGTTTTAAGCTGCTAAATATGTGTTAATTTTTTATGATAGCAAGAGAAAACTAATCTACCCCGCCAGGGGTGGAGCACACATGACAAATTGGTCATCTTTATTTCTTACTACACTCTTTCTTGGCTCATCCCCATTTGCTCATTAGGAATGTAAATGAGATTTTGCATATAAGCTAAGCACATTTTGTTTTAAAGCACTAATCCATATGGAGTTGACCTGTGTTTACAGTGGGTGCTAGGGGTCCAGGTTGGTTTCTTCCACGTGGATAGCCAGTTGTTTGAAGACTGTTTTCAAATAGACCATCCTTTCTGAACAGATCTACCATGTCACTCTAGTCTTATAAAAAGGTTTGGGGTTTTTTGAGTGAATCTGTTTATTCTGTCTTGCTGGTTAGTTTTCCTATCTTGTGTCAGTATTACACTATATTAATTACTGTATTATTATTATTATTTGCAGTTTGGCTGGGGCCGGGCTTGAACCCGCCACCCCCAGTATATGGGGCCGGCAGCCTACTCCTTGAGCCACAGGCACCACCCTTAATTACTGTATTTTCATGATAAGTCTGGATATGTGGAGCAGCAGGTACTCTGTCCTCCCACAGTCCATTTCATCGCCCAGACACCATGATCTTTTCCAGAAAAATCTTGGCTGGTATTGCCCTTTTCGTCTTGCACTTAGCTTTTACAATTAGCTTGTAACGTTCAATGAAAAGCACTGTTGGGATTTTTATTGGAATCCATGATAAACTGAAGGAGAGTTGACTTTTATATGAAGATGGTAGATGTGTTAGTTAATTTCATGGGTCACCTCCTCTGAATCACAGGCTTCCCAGCTATCTACTTAAACATTCTTTCTGGGTATATCTGTGAGGCTATTTCTAGAAGAGATTGGCATTTGAATCAGCGGACTGAGTAAAGAGATCTTCCTCTTCAATATGGGTGGGCATCATCTAATTCTTTGAGGGTCTGAAGTGGAAGAATAGAGGAAGGGCTGTAGGTGCAGGGGCTCACACCCATAATCTTGCACTTGGGAGGCTAAGACATGAGAATTGCTTGAGGCGAGGCCTTGGAGACTAGGCTGGGCAACCTAGTGGAACCCCCTTCTCTACAAAAAATAAGTTAATCAGCCAGGTCTGGCACTATGTGCTTATTCTTGCTACCCAGGAGGTTGGGGTGGAAGGATGGCTTAAGCCCAGGAGTTTAGGCTGCAGTGAGCTATGATCACACTATTGCATTCCAGCCTGGGCAGCAGAGTGAGACTCTGTCTCCAAAAAGGAAAAAGTAGGGGAAAGGAGGATTTACTTACTCTCTGCCTGACTGCATGAGCTGAACATTGGTCTTCTTCCCTGAATGCTCCTGGTTCTCAGGCCTTCAGCCTAAGACTGGAATCTACACCATCTGTTCTCTGGCACTGAGGCCTCTGAACTATACCACCAGCCATTCTGTACCTCCGGCTTACAGACAGCAGATTGTCTGACTTCTTAGCCTCTGTGTGTGTGTGTGTGTGTGTGTGTGTGTGTGCGTGTGTGTGCGCGTGTGCTGTCCAGAAAGCAGACATGCATGTCTCTATTTTTCATATTACATGGCTGGATACTTTCTTGGCAGCCCTCATACTGTGGGTATACACACACACACACACACCCACATACACACACTCTGCACTGTTTCTCTGGGGGACCCTGACTATAGTGAGCCACTCTATTTATTTGCTTCTACAATATCTTTCAAACAAATTTTATAATGTTTTGAATAAATATCTAGCACGTCTTTTGTTATATTAATTCCTACACCATATAATTTTATTGCTACTGTAAATACAATTTTTTTTATGCAGTTTTTACCCGGGGCTGGGTTTGAACCACCTCTGGTATATGTGGCTGGTGCCCTACTCCTTTGAGCCACAGGTGCTGCCCAATACGATTTTTTAAATTAAAAGTTTTTTAGACTAGAAAGGGGGAAAGGAATACAGGCAGAAGGGGAAGAGATGTTCCTGGAGCTTTGAGAGACCACCCTGAGCTGGGCTTTAGGGTTCTTAACTACC